CCAACGTCCAACGAGTTCTACATTATCGTACGGAGACACAAAGCGTAGCTTGGTTGATTCTGCCTAGGGAGAACGAACGGAAAAGTAAAAGATCAAATCGAAGAAAGAGAAAACTAGAATCGGAGAGACAAATCCTCTTTCAATCTAGAGGCAGAGAGCTTCGAATTGCAGCAATGGCGGAAGAGAGCAACGCGCACAAGGAATACGTACCGCCACCGGTGTACGATTTGAACGCTAAATGGGACGCATGCCTCGATTTGACCCTCCGCCGCGGCGTCTACTACTCCTTCGTCGGTGCTTTTGGTGGCCTCCTCTTATTCAGTGAGTTTTGTTCAACACATCCTCCATTTTGACCTCCTTATTTTTTCCAGAATTTTTAAAATTATTTGGTTTTCTATGGAAATGCTTTGAAATATTTTATTCTGATGGTAGGATCTTTGTATTTATGGCTGAATGGTAGGCCTATTAACTATATTTTTCTATGAATTTTTATTTTTTTTTTATTTTTTGGTTTGAATGCAATGGTAAGTTCTGCTTATATACTAGCTTAATGTGATTAGGTGAATGCCTTTTGGTTGCACGTTTAGATTCTGTGTCTCTATTTCGATGATGGGGGATTTTATGGATTCCTGATTTGTATACGATATTAAAATAGAAGGACACCTAACTGTTCCAACTGGTACATAATCTCAGGCATTGGTAAGCGATGTATGAGCAATTAATCTACAATATTTGGTGGAATTGACATGTTCATTGATTGTAGTTGATATAAATGGTGGTGGAACCCTGTCCTGCTAGTTATTAACTGCAGTTTCTTCAATAACCTAAGTAATTTGCATCTTTTGCTTTAAGAAAAGGACTTCTGAATCCCATTCTTGCTTCAATTTATTTGCACACTCTTTAATGGAAACTTGGCTTATTAAAAGAGAAGGTTCTTAACTTTGCTTGATCTGTCTTTTCAGGGAGTCCTGCAGCACGTTGGGCTGCTATAGCTTTTGGTGCTGGAGCAGGTCTTGGATCTGCATACTCAGAATGCTCTTACAAATTTGCAAAAGATGGAGGTTTACCAGTTCCACATGTTTCTAATGCTTCAAAGGTAATGTTACAGGTACTTCTGGTTACTTCCTTGCAAAGAGATGAACTGTAACTAGGCAACATGCATGGGGTGTATCACCCTGCACCATAGGAGATCGTGCTTTCCATCTATCGTCAACGTGCTAGTAGTGATGTAACATCACTACTATGTTAGAATTCCACATTTCTACTAGTATTTAATACTAACCCATAGTCTTTCAAAGCTTTGGTGCTTACCTCTTTACAGAACTTAATTTGATGGCGAAAATAGTTTTAAGTGTGTGTACAAAGAATAGTTATCATGTTTCTACCAAATGAAATATTATCTTAACTTTCAACCGATGGAATATGTTTCTTGTCCATTGATGTTTTGTGTGCAGTTAAAATTACTGGTGAACTTGTTTGTGATGTGTAAACACACACACATAAATGCATTAAAAAAATTCAGACTCAAAAAAAAGAGGCAAAAAGAAAACAGAAAACCTGATCTTGGATGTGGTTGACTAGTTTTTTACCATCAATCTCCCTAATTGAGGACAGTGGCAATGTGGCATGTAAGGTGATGGTAAGTGGGAGGGAAAGAATGACATATCTGGTATGAGAGATAGGGTGGGTTACAGAGGGATCCCCTTCTCCCAAGTAACTTCTATCACCTCCTCCACCTTGGGCCTTGGCCTTCATGGTGTTACAAGGCCCAAAGTCTCCACATCTACCAGCTTGGAATTGGTGGCGTGGGGGTCGAACACCAAGATGGCTGTAGTTGGGGAAGAAATCAAATTAGGTTGTTTTGAGAGCAAGTACTGTTGATTTTCAGTATTTGAGAAAGAGAAGTCGATTTTGAGAGAGAGAGAGATAAGTAGAGAAGCGAGGCATCGAAGAAGGGAATGAGGCTAGGGTTTCTTTAAATAAATGTGTATATATGGGGAATAAAAATTTCCCTACTTGTGTGGCACATGAGTATGGCAAGGGTTGCTAGAACTTTTGTGGAGTTGAAAATCTTTTATTTTTACGTTCTTCCGATCCCTTGTAGCTCATAATCAAATAACATCTCTTCTCCTTTGCACCTGAATAAATGTGAAAGATTAGTTGGAGTCTGGAGTAGAAATACTATTAACCATCTAGAAGGTTCACCGTTCTCTTAGTCTTACTGTGCAAAAATGCAAAATTTTGAATCATATTTTTTGTAGAATGGCTTACAAGGTTTCTTAAACGCAATAAATTCATAGTTGTGTGCCGGTTGTTTCTAAACCTTTATTTACGATGCATGGTTCTATTATGATCTCAGAATTGAATACTTTGCCTTTTGTGTTGTTTTTACTGTCTGCTCTTGCATTGTTTTGCTTTGGTATGCAATCATGTTAATATCTTCCTTATGGTGCAGGTGAGTACCGAGCAGGAATGAAGTCCTCTTCCTTCACGGGTTTCACATACCAGTTTTTTCAAACTTGATGAGATTGTTGTTCACCCTTGTCTGTTCAGTGGCTCTCGCCTTTCATTATTGCAGGATTATTTTGAAAGGTTAATTAGATTGTTCAAAGCCACAAAGCTACTCATCATAAACGCCTCTGGCTTTTTTGTCTGTAATTCTATTTACCAACCAAAGTTCAATAGGTAAAGTTAATAATTTCTTCATTGGCCCCTTAGAGGCTTTGGAAAGACATCTTCTTCATGCATTTCTTTTTGGGTACCAAAAGATATAATAAACCAAGAATTCACAAAGGAAAGGAATATATTATTCCTTAGGTAACAAATAACTGCCATTGTCAATTTTGTTCAGGCAAGAAATCATTGAGCCAACTTCTCATGATCACAAAAGCCTCTTCTGCATCTCTGTCTTCTTCAGGAGACTGAGGCCTGTGGACAAAACCATGACCCCTTCCCTTAAAAACCACCACCTTACTCTTCTCAACATCTTTAGCTACATTGTTCAGTACACTAACCGGGCAAAGTGGATCATCATTGCCGGAGATTAGCAGCAGCGGTGATTTTATTTTAGTAGAGAGAGAGGTGTTTATCCTTGTGCCGTAGAATGAGATCCCAGCACCGAAAGAGGAGCCCTGGTCTTTTGCAAGAATGTCTAATGTTAGGCCGCCCCCATAGCAAAATCCAATCACACCAAGCTTCTTTGAAATCCCTGCAGCTACAAATTCATTGACCATCCATTCTACTGATGTAAAAGTGTCCTGTATAACCCGATTTCTGTCTTGTTTACCAATCCACTGTTCAAATGATGCAGCTGGGCGGTCCTTTCCCCATGGATCTCCACGAAACAAGTCCGGCACTAGGACACTGCCATAAAAAAAAAACTTAGATAAGTGGTCCAAGTAGAGATATAACGAGAAGGGCGGGCTTACTTGTAACCATTGCAAGCAACACGGTATGCAAAATCTCTGGTAAACGAGTCTTCAAACCCAAAAACATCAGATAAAAGCAATATGCCAGTCCCATTGTTGTTCTTGACAGCCGTCAAAAGATAAGCGTCGATGCTATCACCTTCATCCCCTATCGACAGCTCCACTCCATTGACTAGTTCACAAGCCTCGTCCTCTACTTTTACTTGGCAACAACACACATTATGTTTCTTAGTCTTTGTGAAAGACAAAGACGCGCCCCAACAGTTTACATTGCTTCTCTGGACAATAACTGAAGCTTGAGAGTCAGAAGTTGCCATTGCCAAAGAAGAATAGCATGCATATGAACATATTACTGCAAATATGAGAAGCAATTTAATTAATATCACTACAACATCTTTTTTTTTTCTTTCTCATTTTTAGAAAGAGATATTGCAGTAAATTTGCCATTGCTTCTCAATAACTGAAGCTTGAGATATTGCAGTAAAATTTAAGCTCAAAAGTTCTGAAGTTGATAGCATATCGCCATAACTTGATTCACAGTAAAATTAAAACAATCCAGATTTTAACACCATATGGGAAAGCCAGAATCTAGATACTTTAGCAAAGGTTCTCCTTATCTAAGAATGGATTTTTGGTACAAATAGCATTTTTCTGGGAGAAATTCTACCGATAAGCACAACAAAAATGGAGATTCCAGAAAACAGACAGCAAATTGGACTTGAATACAAGACGAAAACGGAGATTTCAATGAGAAATTTAACAGTTAATCCATAAATCAAACAAGTAAGCAAAGCCTCATTAGGGTTAGCCTATATAACTGCATATAATTGAACGAGAATATAAATTAAAAAAAAAAAAAAAAAAAAAAAAACAGAGCAAAAAAGGAAAACGTACAGAGAGCGAAAGAGCTGGCGGGGTAGGAAGTGGTTTTAGAAATGGCGGTTTTATAGTTTCAGGAGCAGTGAACAAAGGAGCCGACCCCATGGCCGCCATAGCCATTTTTGTTATTCTCCAATGTTTTGAGTTCGTTGTGAAAGTCTTTACCTTGATGACAACACACACAACAATAACAGAATTTCCTACTTCTAGTTGCATGCCAAAATATCTCCTCAAAAAATATCTCTTCCTTCAAGATTTTGGGCCTCAAATAATAATAATATTTATTAATATGAATAGAATTATAGAAACATTTACGATGTAAATATGTAATGCTTAATAGTCTGTGTTGACCACGGTCCAAAGCTACGTCGTTGAATTTTATGCGTTAGAATAATGTACTCTATGTGTTAAAATAATATAAATTATGTGTTAGAATAATGAAACTTCTGAAGTAAGATAGTGTACTTTATGAATTAGAATAATAGAATTTGATGTGCTAATGTATCATTTAATGCAAGATATGCATACTTTATCACTTATTACAACTTGTACATTTGTGGAAAAATGTAAACAATATTATAAATAATGTTCAACAAATAATCAAATGTTCTTTCCTTAACAATTCCAATCTTGCTTGCAACATTTCTCTCTTTCTCAAATAGTGTAGCTGAGATTGGTGGGTGATTTTTGCAGGCAGGCATTGAATCCACACATGAAGAGGGGGGGCTAGGGGGCATCTAAAGATTGAATCGCGAGTTTTGCAGCGACCAGGGAAATATTATCTCTCACGTATCTGGACGACAAGTCTAGCCTCTCCATTGTGTCTTTCATGTGCATTGCTCTTAGCTTCTCCTTCTGCAATTTCACCACATCGGATCGGGTTGCTCCTGTTATACCAGGACAAAAAAAAAACGGAGTTACTACATATTAAGACGTACTCGTTGGAGTGCTATTTAATAGAGAACGAGAAACTCCAAAAGCTAGCAAGCAACATACCTGAAACAGGTTGGAGTGCTGCAAAGGACACAAGCTCAGCCATGGATGGAATGAAATTGCTGTCACAATCGAGTAAAGATGCCTTCTTCACCCACCCTATAGAGTTGGCAGTCATTGTTTGCAACAATTCTTCTTTAGGGGCCTATAATAGTACAACTTAACTTAGTTACCTAGTCAAGTTGGTCCGCCTGTTAACTTGGTAACCACAAAGTTACAAATTCGACTCCCAACGGGAGCGGCCTATTGGCCTTCTTGGTTTGAACCGGTCAGCTATGGACAACCTAAGCTAGTTTACCTCCTTGTGGTCCTTTGCCAGCTAGGGCCACAAGGCGGGGTTTACCCAGTACACACCCTCGAGTAGAGGCTATGGGTTTTCCTCGTCACTCAACAAGTAAGAGAATTTAAATAAGAATGAGAAAAGTGACCATATCTTGTTTCACTTGAATGTTTTTAAAAAAAAAAAACTTAAGGGACAATGTAGAGGTTGGATTTTTACCTTCAGCTTTATTTCTAAACTATTCAAACTGCAAATGGATTCCTTCAACTCTGAAACTTTGGAACTTATATCTGTAACCGTGAGTGGAATGTTATCTTGAAATGGTATGACCATGCCCCTCAAGTATGGTTCTGCCTACAAATTATGCCAAAACAAAGACCTGTATAGATATTATGATTGTAAGCAAAATAACTTCATGATAACATAAAAATCACAATTATACTCAAGACATTGTTCCCGTCATTTACTATCTTGGTGCTAGCTTCATTTCCATCCATACAGTGTTTAGAACTGCTACAATTACCTGGCTGCCATATCCCTTTACAGGACGTTTGGTTGGGAGTAAGGAATTAGGGTGGAAAGGAATTGTAATTCGGTGTGAAAAGAATAAGGTGGGAATAAAGTAGGAATTCAAATTACATTGTTTGGTAGGGATGAATAGAATTATTGGGTAGGGAATGAAAGAAGAGATATAAATATTAAAATGTCCGTGTGTAATAATAATAGTAGTAATAATTAAGGGTACTTTTGTCATTTCATCCCTTTTTCCTTTTCCCCCAACCACCGAATTGCAATTCATAGGGGGTGCTCATGAATTGCAATTCAGCAAAAGGGGGGAATTGCAATTCTGTGGAATTGCAATTCCCTCCAACCAAACGGTGTAATTGTGGCTTCCACTGAATTGCAATTCAACTACAGCCAAATTACGCTCAACCAAACAGGCCATTAGTTCATGAAACTTCGAGTTCTTAAAAATCATTCATTGAGAATAAATAAATTCACACCTTGACAAAAAAGTTCAGACATGCCAAACAATCGGGCATACTTTCAACTTTAAAATTCTATTATTCAGCTTAAACAAACAATGTATAAATCAAGCAATGATAATTCACCTGCACAAAATGCACAATCTTGACACGGCCTATGCCTCTTATAGAGACAAACGCGCCAACATCTAAGCGCTCAACCTGAAAAGCAGTGACAGGAATTGATAATTTATCAGTATCATTTCTTAGTTTCATCATCGTCTATATAAGTGTCGAAGCTTACTTTCTCTATAACAACTAAGCAACAATATCTGGCTGCAAATGATGCTTCTCCAGATGTATCATTAATCGCAATAGGATCCAACACAAAGTGTACAAATAGCTTCTCTTTCCTAAATAGAGACTGCAAAAAAAAGTGTAGAGAAGAGCCCTTTTTGGTTAGATACAGTAAGAAGCAAAATTAAACAATCACCTTTCCTAAAATAAATCAAGGATTACACCTTTATCACCCATCATGTGCTATTATCTTTACATTCAATTTAATGCAGAGTTTGGGTTCCCAATTACTTCTATTGAGCACAGCAAACCCCATGCTCAGTTAGATCAAATAAACAGAATTGGGTACTACCAACAAATACTAGGGAGTGTTTGGTAAATAGCTGTTGGCTGATAGCTGTTAGCTGATTGGGTTAATGGGTTTGATTAGTTGATAGTATTGGCTGATTGTAAAAAGATGTTTGGTAAATTAGCTGTTAGCTGATAGCTGATTATATGCAAAATGACTTTCTCAAAAAGCTAATCTAAAAAACTGCTTTGAGCAGCTTTTTGAATTTTAGCATTTTGGAGCAATAAGCTGTTACAAAAAGCTAATTAACAAAACACTTATATTGAATGTTTAATCAGGTCAAACAACTAATAGTGGTCAAATAAGCCAAAATTGGCTGATAAGCTAACTATGTTACCAAACAGGGCCTAAGCCAAAGTGGGCAACCCCAATCAAGGTGGTTAGGCTGTTGACTTAGTAAACACAAGGTTACAAGTTCAACTCCCAATTGGAGCGGCTTATTGATCTTCTTGATTAAAGCCACTAAGTCAGACAGCTATGGGCAACCTAGTTTAGTAGTTCTTTGCCAACTAGGGTCACAAATCCGAGTTTACTCGGTGCACAACCTCAGATAGTGACTGGGGTTGCCTCCTCATAAAAAAAAAATACTAAGCCAACACAATTAACCATAAGCCCATAACTAACCACAGTTAGATGAATGTAGAAGCATAACCTCATCTAGCAGAGCTAGGTATCTGGCTTCATACAAGTGAAGTGACTTGGTCTCTGAAGGGATAAGTGTCTGCACAAGGGAAGAAAGTTCAAGTTACAACAATCATACATTATCCCCCCCCACACACAAAATTCAAGAAATGGGATTTCCATTAATAATAATTGAAAATAAGATCAATTACCTGGTCTATAGGAAAGGGAAGAAGTGGGAGCTCCAAGGTGGATGCAAAAGTAATGAAGCGACGTCGTTTCCTAGCAAACTGAAAGTGTGCAAATTTTTGCCGCGCGGAAAGAGCGAGGAGCAGTGGGTGAGATGGAATAGTGCAGGATTGTCTCCTTCTTCTTGCGGTAGGATTAAAGTAGGGCAAACAAGAATTCAATTGGAGAGGTCTGTGAAGAGATAAGTAGACATTAATCATGCTTTTGCACTCTCGCTGCAATCCCAATTCTCAAAGCTTCTTGGTGAGTGATGACTGTTGAGCCGTTAGAAATGTGGTGCCAATTCTTTCCCGTATCAACAATAATAATAATATGTGGGCCCGCATGGACAGCTCTGGTCATATATGATATAACAGAAGGTGAAATTTGGAAATAATGATACGAGTCTCATCGCTCGAGTGTGAGAATAACTTCTCAAAGGTTTAGCCATTGTATTCAGTTGAGTTACTATGACATTCCTCTATAAGTTCTGTTTGGACGTTTCATATACTCAGTCGAACATGTGATTTTGTTCTCAAATTACATGTAAAATAGAAAATAATCATTTTTAGATACATTCTAATATATTAGTATAATATCTATAACAATAATGCCGTCTGATCACAAGTTACTTAACATATTATTATCATTATTATTGGACAACATTCTTAGCTTCATATAATTCATATAAGAAGCTACGTACTAATGAATGGCTTGCACAACATCTCAAGTCCATTTTTTTTTTATTAATTCCTCAACATTATCCAAACACTACCTTCTCTGCTCCTCCTTCACCTTCAGCACTGAAAGCTAAGCTGGATTCATTTATTCATAATATTTATTAATTAATTTATTGTTCCACAATCCACAATACATGCAGTAGTTCAGCAGGGAGGAGGGTGATGTCATCCTAATCAATCAAACGGGTTTGAGCCATCCACCGGCATGTCTGTGACGTCATACCACGGGAATGGCCTGCTTCCTTTCGTGGCTTCCATCAGTTCATCAATGGAGATCGCCGAGTTTGATCTCTCCAACACCGCCGGAGAGATAGCGTTCGGGGACGGATCCTGATAGAATATTTAACAATATTATTATTATTATTATTATTATTATTATTGTTATTCCAGATTAAATTTAATTAGTATTTTGATTAAATTTTGTTTTTGGAGATTTAAACAAATAAAATAATGCTGACCAGATCAGCGTGCATCTTCTTGACGAATTTCTTGAAGAGTTCGAAGTTGTCTGTCTGTAACAGATCGTCAGACAAACGGAGGTATGTCAAGCCAGACATCTTGAGCTTGGGAGGGCCGTTAAGATTGACGCCGTTTGGCCTGACGTTCAGAAGCATTTGGTTGTATGCCGTGGCATCATATCTTGGCAGTGCATTCTCACCTGCCACATCAATATACTCTTTCCATCCATTGCTCAACACCTGCACAATCATTATTCAACTCAACTTTAATTAACATGTACCCAAACTAAAACGTATAGCATGTAACTATTAATGTGCAATCCAACTATCAGCTTAAGCTTTGAGTTGAGATGGAGCACATGATTCAATTTGATATCAAAACTAGACTAAAGGTCATAAATTCGCTGCTTGGAACCCACCTTAGACTTTTAGTCAGATGGATTGACTGTGGTTGTGACTGTGTTTTGATATTGTAAAATTTTGGTTATGGTACCTCTCGAACGAGTTCTTGAGGAGCACTCTTGGCCTCGGCGGGCTGTTCGGAGTCTCTCATCTCAAGACAAGTGAAGTTGAGAGTGGCATGGTGCCTTGCCAGCATCCTGGCAATAGGGCGATAACCGTCTCTTCCCGCCACATTGTAGAATCCGGCGGTGAGCTCCGCCGCATGGCTGACATGATTGTACCACCAGTGAATTCCAGAAACTTTGGCAGCTATGTTGACGCGGAAGCCAACGAAAACTTTGTTGGCTTGTTCAAGGACTTGATCGCCATGGATGATGAGGTTGTTGGAGTACCATGTCAAGAAGAACTTTCCGAAATCCGTCTTGTAAGTCCCGTTTGGCTTGAAGAATCCCGTCTTGTCCGGCGTGTCGTTGTAAGTTCCGGCGTTTCCCGGCATCTCCCAATCCGCATGCCCCGCCTGCTTCACAGCCTCCTTCCAGTCTGCCACCATGTACTTGTCATAGCACTGCAAATTCAAATACAATTCAATTCTGATCTCCCATCCGATCCGCCATTGTTGTATAGTAAAGTCTAATTCAAATCAAAACTGACCTGAAATTCTCCGATGCCGGGGTAAACCCATCCTTGAGTCTCGGGATACGAGGGATACCGAAGCTCTCCGGCAGCCCCACACCCTACTTCAATGTCTACAATATCTCCACCCTTCAAAAACTCTGCCATATTATCTCTGAAACTTTCCATGAAGTCCCTGTACATCTACAAGTACATCTCAACCACGATTAATTTGGCAACCAGAAAGTATAACAATTCAACTGAAATAATCTATTCATCATAAGTTTATTTAGCCTTTGTCTGCTAGAGTGACAAGATACGGGTCTATTCAGTACACACTTTTTATAACAGTTCATATACTTTTAAATTTTACTCCCTGACAAACGATATATATATATATATATATATATATATATATATATATATATATATATATATATATATATATATATGAGTTAATACCCAAAATAGTCCCTCGACTATGTCGTAATTATCAATTTGGTCCTTGACTATTATTTTTACCCAATTAAGTCCTCAACTATACAATTTTTACCCAATTTAGTCCTTTGTCAATTTGACTGTTTGTTGACTGTCAAAAGTGGAAATAAAGTTGTAATTTTACAAGTTTTCTCCTTCCTCTTCATTTAACAGCGCCAAACCATGTAGCAATAAGCTCCGGTTGGGTTCTAAACCTGTCAGTATCGAAGTAGTGGTTATGCATCGGATAGCCCATGAATTTTATTTCCAACGATTTTTTGACGATCGAAATCTGATAGGAGTGTATTGCTGCATGATTTGGCGCTGCTAAATGGAGAGGAAGGAGAAATCTTGTAAAATTATAATTTTATCCCGACTTTTGACAGTCAACAAACAGTCAAATTAATACAGAGGACTAAATTGGGTAAAAATTGTATAGTTGAGGACTAAATTGGGTAAGAATTGTATAGTTGAGGACTTAATTGAGTAAAAGTTACATAGTTGAGGACTTAATTGGATAAGAATGGTAGTTGAGGACCAAATTGGTAATTATGACATAGTCGAGGGACCATTTTGGGTATTAACTCTATATATATATATATATTAATGTGGATCTCAATATAAATACATCAAGATTTTGTGTCTGAAATAAAAATTGGAGTTAATTACATAAATGGTCCCTTGGTTATAATGAAATTACCAATTTGGTCATTGACTATTTTTTTGACCAATTAAGTCCCCCAACTTTAAAAATCTTAACCAATTTGGTCCTCCGTTTGTTTGACCATTAGTCAACAGTTAATTTGGGACCAAATTGGTAATTCGCTATAGTCAATGGACCATTTTGGCAATTAATTTTAAGGGTGGACAATTCGGTTCAGTTTTCTCGAATCGAACCGTACCAAACTAATTAGATTCGGTAATATATTGAACAATCGAACAGTAATAAATTCTTATATATCAAACGGTTCGGTAAAAATTCGAAACGAACTGAATTGTTCGGTAAAAACCGAATCGAACCGAATATCGTTTGAACTTTGGATTGCTATTTTGTTATATATTATATTAGACTTTAAGTTGGATATGGACTATGTAAATACCATAACACATAATATAGAACTTTTGATAACAAACCATAAAGAAATCAAATAAAACATTTACGAGAGATATCCGTGAGAATATGAGCTGAACAGCAGAGCAAGCAGCAAAGGGTTTGGATTTACTTATTTATTTATTTATTTATTTTATTATTATTATTATTATATTTAAAAAAAAAAAATCAAACGGTATTCGATTCAATTTAATTTTTTGCCGAACAATTCGGATCGGGTCGATTTTTTATCGAACCATTCGGTATACAAGAATTCAATAGCGTTCGGTTGTTCGGTATATTACCTAACCAAACTAGTTCGGTTCAGTTTGGTACGGTTCGATTCGATTTGAGAAATCTAAATCGAAATGCCCACCTCTAAAGTTAATTACCAAAATGGTCCCTTGACTATAACGAAATTATCAATTTAGTCTCAAGTTAACGATTGACTAACGGTCAAATAAACGGAGGACCAAATTAATTAAGATTTTTAAAGTTAAGAAACTTAATTAGTTAAAAAAAATAATCAAAGACTAAATTAATAATTTCGCTATAGTCAGGACCATTTTAAGTAAAGTTGAAACGGATAATAAGACTACTACAGTTACGTACCTCGAGAGCGGTGCGGCCCTGGAAGAGACGTTGATTGTCGACGCCGAGAGAGAGGTACTCCTTGTTTCGGTTACCGGCCCGGTTGGTGTAGAAGATGTCGGGGTTTTTGTCGCCGATTTGGAGTATCCATTGAGGGATGGGGATGAAGACGGCGTCGCCGACGTTGCCGCCGCATTGGTGGAAAGACATGATGGCCTGGATTTTGAGTCCACATTTCTTAACCAGCTGGAATAATTCGGCAGGGCCGGATTTTAGGCTGTGCAAGCTGGGCTACCGCACAGGGCCCCCAATTTTAGAGGGGCCCCAAATTTTAGAGGTTCAATATTTAATTTTTACCTAGCTAGTTTAAAAATAAAAATTAAAAAGTTTTCAATTAAACTTTAAAGGTTTCATGAAGAGATGGTAAGAATGTGTATTTATTGTATTTTAACTTGGAGGTCAAAGGTTCGAAACTTGCATGTATTAGTTTTAAAAATTATGATTTTGGTAGGGCCACATTTATTTACTAGAACAGGGCCACCAAAACTTAAAATACGGCCCTGTAATTCGGTGTAGGCAGACCAATCGTACTGCTTTGGGGCTTTGGCCTCGATGATCCCCCACCACACATCCACCATTACCCCGTCGCACCCCGCTGCTTTCACCTGCTTCAGCTCGCCTTCCACCTTCTCTTTGTCCGGGAAAACATTCTCTGCATTCACAACTCCCAACTTTTCCGGCCACCACAGAAACAATGATAAGTGTACTAGATTAGCAGTAATTTACATGAACCAAATTACACTTTAGGGTGTGTTTGGAAATCAAGAAAATGATTTATGAAAAATGTTTTATAGAAGATGAGTCATTTTTTTTCAAACTTTTCATTGTATTATGTTTCTGGAAATGAGTAGAATTGTATAATTAAACATTTTAATTATTTTGTTTAGATATAACAACATTTATAATAACAATTGAAAAAAGAGAACAGATAATCACAACTCAACCATAGAAAAAGAGAACAGATAACTCTGGTGTCTATGGTTTCCGAAGCAAAACCAGTCTGGCCAACTGGTTTCCGGCATGGTACGTTGGTAGAGAGGTGTGGTATGTTGGTAGAGAAAGGCATAGAAAATGACTTTCTCAAAAAAAAAAGACCTCATTTTCCTGAAAGACATATCTATTTTTCATTGACCAAAATATTATTTTTCATTAATTTTAAATTTTCTTCCTTTCGAAACACTGAAAACCCGGGAACTTTTCGAGTTTCCAAACACATCTTAAGAAAAAATTGAATTCAGTTTAACTTATAATTTTATAAATTCTAATATAGAATTGATCGAATATGATAATGTTGGCTTACCGGGAGCATTACATACAGAGGGACGTAGTTACCAATTGGCATTACACCGGGGATTGGAGCCATTATTGTTGTTGATTTTGCAAGAGACTAAAGCAAGAGTTGGAGAGAGCTGAGAATAATGGGGAAGATTGAGAAGTGGCTATACAACCTAGTATTGCTTTGATGATCCCTTTATATACACAATGGTTTGGTATGGTGAGTTACTGAGTTGATAAAAATACTATTATAATAGTATTGCACATGAGTTATAATTATTAAGCATCCAAACTTTGATGTGTCTTTCATCAAGATTAATTGTGACCCGTGAAATTTGAAAATGGCTAAACATAAAGATACTTGATTAAATTCACACTATAGTTTACCAACTTAATTATTCAAATCTCTACCCATATTCATATGTTACCATCTCACCCATGGATGATGGATGAACCCATAACAAAAAAATTCAGAAGGCAAATATTAAAACAAAAAAGATAGTTAAAAAAAATAATACTATGTAATAATAAAATACTTATGAAGCATATCCATATATATTGTTGGACAGGGACGAAAAATAAAAAATACATCAAAACTTTATAAAAAAAAATAATCATAACAAAATATGAAACATAATTACTTTGATATAAAATGATTCAAATATAAACCACCTTATAAATTACACATCTCATTATATTATTAATATAAATATTAAAACAAAAGACAATGCTAGAATGTTTATAACAACTTATTAATTAAAACAACTCAAAATATACTCCATTGTCATACCATAATTGGTCTTCAACCAGGGCCGGATTTTAGATTTTTGTGGCCCTGTTCTGGTAAATAACTGAGGCCCTCCAAAATCATGATTTTTAAAACTAACATATACGAGTTTCGAACCTTTGACCTCTAAGTTAAAAGACAATAAATACATATTTCAACCATCTCTTCATAGAACCTTTTAAGATTAATTGTAAACTTTTAATTTTTATTTCTAAACTAGCTAGGTAAATATTAAATATTGGGCCTCTAAAATTTGGGGCCCCTCTAAAATTGGGGGCCCTGTGCGGTAGCCCAGCTTGCACAGCCTAAAATCCGGCCCTGTCTTCAACTTTCAATCGGACTAAATAAAGTTCTTGATTATGCATATGTTACATGATTTAGTCCTCCAATTAGCTTTCTGGTCAACTATAAAGACAATGCTAGAATTTCTAGATTTTTTTCATCATTTTCATTGGTCATTATTATAAGTGTAAAAACTATAACTTTCAATTTAAAATCGTGAAAAATCCTACCTCTTTAAACGATGAGAACTGATTTTATTGTATTTACTGAACTTGATTACAATGAGATCAGATGATGTGAATATATAGAATAGAGAGTCACAGTGTGACAATGATAAGAAGTAGAGAGTCACAGTGTGACAAGGATAAGAAGTTCTAAACAGACTCATATACATAGAGTCCTAATACTCCCCCTCAAGCACAGTGTATACTAGTAACCTGTAGCTTGTCCCTTAAGGATGAAAATCTAGGTCCAGGCAGAGCTTTGGTGAAGATATCAGCAAGTTGATCTTTTGTGGAGATGAAGTTGACTTGGATATCGCCCGAAGCTACTCGATCACGAACAAAATGATAATCAATTCCACATGCTTGGTGCGCGCATGAAGGATTGGATTGACACTCATATATGTAGCTCCTAGATTATCACACCATAAATTTGGAATGGAAATACCCGGAATCTGTATCTCACGCAGTAATGACATAATCCATAGAACCTCAGCACAAACATCTGCAAGAGCTTTGTATTCAGCCTCAGTGGATGACCTGGCAACAGTTTTCTGTTTCTTGCAAACCCATGATATAAGATTACTCCCCAAGAAAACAGCAAAACCACTCGTGGATTTTCGATCGTCAGGACAACCAGCCCAATCAGAATCAGAGAAAGCATGAATGTCTCTAGATGAGCACCGTCGTATGCGTAAACCATGATCAACTGTTCCCTTAACATACCTGAGTACCCGTTTGAGCTGCTCCCAGTGTGATATGGTAGGAGCTTGCATATGCTGGCATAACAAATTAACTGCAAAGGATAGGTCAGGTCGTGTAACAGTGAGATATTGCAGTGCTCCAGCTAGACTCCTGTACTGTGTGGGATCATCATATAGATCTGAATTGAAGGGGACAGTTTTCGAGACAGAGATAGGTGTAGAAAGGGGTTTGCATTCAGACATTCCAGCCTGTTTTAAAATATCATTCATATACCGTTGTTGAGATAAAATAATCTCATTGTCACTCTTAACTGTTTCAATACCCAGAAAGAAATTTGGTTCACCAAGATCTCTGATTTTGAATGTAGCAGACAGTTTGGACAAGAGCTGAGACATAATACCCTGATCACTTCCCATTACAAGAATGTCATCCACGTACACCAATAGATAAACCAAAGCAGAGTCTTTAGAGTAATAGAACAGAGAGACATATGTCTTGGATGCTTGAAAGCCAACCGATAGTAAGAACGTATGTAGTCGATTAAACCAAGCTCTGAGAGCTTGTTTTAACACATACAGAGATCTTTTTAACAAACAAACATGATTCGGGAAGTTAGCATCAATATAACCAGGGGGTTGCTTCATATAAACTGTTTCAGCTAGATTACCATTCAGAAAAGCATTATGAACATCTAGCTGTTTGATAGACCACCCAGATGATAAAGCTAGAGATAGAAGGAGTCTTACAGTCGTAGGCTTTACCACTGGACTAAAAGTGTAAAAAGTCCTGACCTGGAACCTGATTAAAACCTTTCGCAACCAGCCTGGCTTTATGCCTTTCAATAGCACCATCAGCCTTTCTCTTCGTACAAAACACCCATTTACAGCCAATAATATTCATACCTGCAGTGGGTGGAACTAGAGACCATGTGTGGTTATGCAGGAGAGCATTGAATTCTTGGTCCATGGCTTCATGCCACTCAGGATATTTGACAACTTGAGAGTGACATGCGGGTTCCGTGGGATGCACCTGAGCTGCTAGAGCAAAAAGAGGAGCATCTGCGTTGCTGCGAGTGGCCATAGAGTGAGTACGGACATTGGGCCTGATGGACCGCCCACGTGGACGGCCTCGCCGGCGAACAACAGGCTCCACAGGATCACCCGACGAAGCAGCATGTCCGGGATCTACGGCTGGTTCGAATGAAACAGGTAGCGGCGGTTCTGGCGGCTCATCATTGGACACGACAGGAATAGGTGTGCTGTGACTGAGAACAGATTCCGCCCAAGGTCCAGAAAACGGAATAGATAGATCCTGCAAAGAAGTTTTAGTAGCAAAGGGGAAAACTTCTTCATCAAATCTGACATGCCTGCATGTGTAAATCTTATTAGTATGTAAGTCCATGCATCTGTACCCCCTAAATGACTCAGGATAACCTAGGAAGACACATGGAGAAGACCTGTATGACATCTTATGACGATTATATGGTCGAAGATGAGGGTAACATAAACACCCAAAGACACGAAGAAAAAGATAGGAAGGAGGCGGATTTATGTAACAGGAGATGAGGACTGGAGTTATTTAATACAGAAGATGGCATTCTGTTAATTAAATAGACAGCAGTCTCAAAGGCAAAATCCCAAAATTTCAAAGGAACAGAGGCATGAGCTAGAAGAGCCAGACCAGTTTCAACAATGTGACGATGTTTTCATTCAACACGACCATTCTGTTCATGTGTATAGGCATAGGATTGTCTATGTTGAATTCCTAATTGAACAAACGAAAAATGCAACTTTTTGTACTCAGCACCTAAATCAGACTGAATGACCTTTATTTTGCAATTAAAGGACCGTTCAACAAGAGTACGAAATTTATCAAAGATGCCATAGAGATCAGACTTTAATTTCATAGGGAAGAACCATGTATAACGGGAATAGTCATCCACAAAGATCACAAAGTAACGGAAGCCAGATGTAGATAAAGTGGCCGCAGGACCCCAAATGTCTGTGTAAATAAGATCTAGTACATGAGAACTAGAGGAAGCAATACGAGGGAAGGGAAAACGGGCAGATTTGCCTAATTGACACGCATTGCATAAAAAATTAGTACAACGAATATTATCACGAGATCCACTAACTAAACAAGATCGAAGTATATGGCTAAGAATACGGTTATGAGGATGACCCAGACGATTGTGCCAAGTGGAAGCCGAGGCACGAACGGAAAGAAACGCTGACGGAGACGAACTAGGTAATGGAAGTGTGTATAGTCCCCCAGAACTATTGCACCGAAGAAGTATTTCCTTGGTATACATAGAGTCCTAATATAAACAACCAAAATAATCTTTCAAATTTCTCTTGTCATGTTGAATAATGTTCCTAGCCAAATCCTCTCCCTCTTTTGAAGGTTTGATATTGGCCACCCACTTTACTAGGTGACAATTGATAATTAGAATAGGAATAAGAGTCAAATACGCCACTCAATTGCACACCAAATTGTAATTTGGCCATCAAACTCAAAAAAATAAAATTGGGTTTCTGGACAACGCAAACTCATGCAATTTAACCTAAAATGACTTGTTTATCTGAAAACATGCTGACATTGCGGTTATCTAATTTAAAAATATTTTTTAAAATATTAAAAAAAAAAAAAAAACATCCTTCTTCGTCTCCGGTGGTCTCCATGGTCGGGGAGACGGCCCCTTCGTATCTGACCGGAAACGAAGGAGTTTTTTTTTTCTTTTTTTTTTAAAAATTTATCTAAAAATATTTTTAAATTCGGTAACCGTCATGTCACCCTATTTTCAGGTAAACAAGTCATTTTGAGTTTAATTGCATGAGTTTGGTTATTTAGGGATTCAATTACACATATATTTTTTTTAGTTTGATGATCCATTGTAATTTGGTGTGCAGTTGAGTGACCCAGTGGCGGAGGGAGCATAACTGCCCCCACTGCCCAAAATTATATATGTTAGTTACTATTGTTAGTTACTAATGACTAATGGCTAATTTTTAAGTTTACTAGTTAAAATTACTATTTAATTTATTAATTATTAACTGTTAATTACTGTTAATTAATTAATTACTAGTGTTATAGTTTTTGTTGTTAATTAGTTACTGTTAGTTTTTGCTAACTGTTAATTAGTGTGGATTATATCCCTAGTTAATTTCTAATTACTTAATTTATTAACTTGAT